CAACTTACAGTAGATGTAATCTAAAACCTCATCTTATTTTCTTTTTTGTAAGAGAGGACAGGAAAGTAATGTATCAGTTAGGAATAAGCTGTTCTTCTATCAAAGCTGTTTTATTTTTTATATTTTATTGATTTTTCAGAGAGGAAAGGAGAGAGATAAAGAGTTAGAAGCATCAATGAGAGAGAAACATTGATCGCTGCCTCCTGCACACCTCCTATGGGGGATGTGCCTGCAACCAAGGCACATGGCCTTGACCAGAATCGAACCTGGGGCCTTTCAGTCCGCAGGCCAACGCTCTATCCACTGAGCCAAACCGGTTAGGGCTGTGAGATCCTTCTCTTATCTCCAGGAATTATGTGGTGGTTCTGAGATTATTCAATGATGATAAAATAAAACATGACCATTTACTGAGGCTTTTAAACATTTTTTGAAGATTTTTTTTGGTGGTAATTTACTCTGTAACAACTTGACTCAAACATATGTTACTCACCCTAATAAATGAGTGTAAAAACAATTCCAAGTTCATCAAATAGCTCAATTAGATGTGATTATTTTCTTTTAGAAGAGCTTCTGAACTCTTCCAAAAGGATTCCTCTTATGAGAATTTAAAACAGAATTTGATTTCTACAAAATAAATTCTAACAGAATACTTTTCAGGTTCAAACCTGCCCCAAAAGCCCTTGATTTTAAGGTTGGCCTTTATAAAAAAATAACAAAATTTAACTATTAACACAGATCTTTAACTGTTCTCTGTCCCAGTGAAAATATTCACTGACAGCTCCTATGAAACATGTATGCATATCTAGTTTAATTTTTAAATATGTTTTTAGAGAGACAAAGGGAAAGGCCTAGAGAAAAAGAAACATTGATGAGAGAGAAACATCATTGATTGGCAGCCTCCTGCATGCACCCCCACTGGGGATCGAGCCTGGGGACTGAGAATTAAACTGGCAACTTCTTGGTTCCTGGGGCGACACTCAGCCACTGTGCCACACTGGCCAGGCTATTTCAATGTTTTTCCTTGCCCTCCTAGACCATTAGATTTCTCACTTGCTTTGACAACAACATTAAACAAGTTGAGAAAAAGCTGTATATAACTTCATCTATTTAATTACTTTAAAGTACATGGACATTTCTCACAAATACGATTTCCATATCTAGATCCAAATCTCAAGTAGCTATCAGATAATGATGTATTATTAAAAGGGTAAATATGTTTCTATTTGTCTTAAAAAGCTGACAATTGCACCTCCTCTCCCAACTTTCTCTCCCTTTTGTATAACTTGTTCAGCCTTCCCCCCTGGAGTATCTCCTTAAAATTTGTGCATCACCAGTGCCAGGGCACGCTCTCCTATGGTCGTATGACCCAAGACCCCAAGGGTCATGCTTCACCTCCAAAGACCTCATCAGGGATGACTGGGGTTGGATGAGCCACAGTCTTGTGCCCCACACAGTCACACACTCCCAGCATGGAGCAGCATGGGAGAAAGAGCACGGGACTTGGTGCCTGCTGACTCATCACCCCTCGCTTAGGTGTTTGATGTGGACCTCCGTTTTTCACCTGTCTGTCCCTTGCTGGTTGGTGGTAAGGACTAACCAGAAGAACAGATGGAAATTACGGAGCCTAATGTCTGGCAAAGGCATTCGATGACTGATGGCTCTTGCATGGTCCAGTGGACAGTCCCATGTCTCCTATTTAAGAATTGTCTTCCGAAGGCGTTATGAATTCTCAGGCCTTAGGCCACTGATTATGGTTAATCAAAAAAATGTGTTCCGTGTCATAGGCTACATTAATGACCGAGTAGAAATCCACCTGCTTGACCCTGGAGCATCCATCAAGTTTCCTCCTGTTTCCAGGCTCACCGGCATGGGAGGCACATCCAGATGGCAGGCGCCGGTGAGCACTCATGGCCAACAAATGTGTTTGTGGATTTTTGATCTTTGATTCCAACCTATCAAGTTAGTCAGCAAAGGGAGCTGAAAGTACACCATGTACACGACGGACATCCACAGTGCCCTCATTCTTTGACAATTTCTATGATACAACTCTTGGGGGGAGCTGGGGGCTGTAGGTGTTTCTGAACCTGTTGGCAAACCATCCTGTCCAAGGCTGTTCGCTGTTTTCTTTAAAACACATGCCTGTATCCCACTGGTTACTTTTGTACCTGCTGAGCCTCTCTATGCTAATATCAGCATCACTGCTGTCTTTGTCCCATCATATTACAATAATAATGCAAAAAAACCCCATTTAAATGCAAAAACAAAATTCAGTTTCAACAAGGAAGAAAAAGAGGAATTGCTGTGCTTTATCTGTTTGAACATTCCCTGATTTCAACACATTTATCAAAGCTTAAGTAATTTATGTCTTGGCAGGGTGTATCAATTTCACAAAGCACACACATTACCTAGATACAATGATATCATATTAGTTTTTTTCTGCATCTTACAGAAGAGCTCAAAAAGATTAATAAAAGCTCAAACCTTCATCAATTAAATAAAGCAGGTGGAAGGAAGGGAGAATATGAATAAGACTGTATTTCATTTCAGTTCTTTTGTTTTTAGTGGGCGGGGGGGAGCTGACAGGTTCAAATCATTCATCATAACAAGCTGAAGTTGAATTTCACTGATAATTAAATGCATTTTCCCCAAGAGGCAGAGAAGCTGCGATGAATTTTATAGTAGCAGATGTGAGAACTGTCACAAATTATGGAAATAATTTATAAACTAAAAAGCATCTTCTTCTGTAAATACTATGTCAGAAGATCCCTTTTCAACCATATCTGCTAGGCATTTTTCAGTAAATGTTGTATTTCGGAAAAATTTTAGTTTACAGAAAAGCTATATTGTACAAAGAGTTACCATAAACCCCGCACCCAGTTTCCTATCCTGTTAATATCTTACATTATAATACATTTGTCGCAACTGGTGAGTCAATCTTGATACACTATTGCTAACTAAAGTTCCTACTCTACTTAGATTTCCTTATTTTTTCCTTATGTCCTCGATCTGCCCCAGAATCCCCTTGAGGATCCCACATTTTGTCCTCGTGAATCCTGAGGTTTGTCTTAGTTGCGATAGTTTCTCAGTCTCTCCTTGTTTTGAATGAAATTTAACGTTTTGAGGAGCACTGGTTAGGGTTGTGTAGAACGCCCTTCAGTGTGAGTTGGTCTGATGTTTTTCTCATGATTAGACTGGAGTTATGGGTTTGGGGGAGGAAGAAAACAGATGTGTCATTTTGGTCACCTCATCTCAACAGCACGCCGGCACCATGACATCACTGTGGGTGTTCATCTCAGTCTTCTGATGATCCTTCTTATTTATTTATTTAAATAATTCTTTATTGTTGAAAGCATTACACATGTACCCCCCCACTCCCTCCGCCAGCATTGATCCTCTCCAGCCCTCCTCCACCCCCTGTCCCTGCCCCAGGACCTCACTGGCTCATTGTCTGTGTCCATGGGCCATGTATGATGATCCTTCTTTTAAAGTTTGCTTTCAGAATTCTCACCAGGCTTGTGCATTGTTGTTATCATAAGCCTAGTTTAATTTACATAAATTCAGTGACACTTAATTTAGGGTTGGTTAAGAATAAGTCAGGAACTTCAAGCATAACTCTTTACCACGTCACGGAATGATCTCGGATCACCTCATTTTATTTGTTATTTAGGAAATTATACATTACCGTACTTATAAATTATTCTGGCATTATTATTATTTTATTTGTTATTTAGGAA